CATAGGTCCAAAGATCCTTCAGTATCATTTAAGCTATCACATAAAAATAGCAAATTAGCTGGGTGTGGTGGAAGGAGGAGAACCTGGAGTTCAAGGCCAACCAGACCAAACTACAAGTACTGTTCTTCCAGCACTCACACCAGGAGGCCTCAAATACTATCTGTTAACTCCAGCTCCAGTGGATTCCACACTCTCTTCTGGCCTCTGAGGGCTCCCACACTCATGTGCACATACTGACACACATAACTGAAAAACTCAAACAAAAATACCAATTGCACACACATACTAAGCAGCTTAGGTATAAAACCCCAAGCTCTAGCCGGGCGGTGGTGGCGCACGCCTTTAATCCCAGCACTCGGGAGGCAGAGGCAGGCGGATCTCTGTGAGTTCGAGGCCAGCCTGGTCTCCAAAGCGAGTTCCAGGAAAGGCGCAAAGCTACACAGAGAAACCCTGTCTCGAAAAACCAAAAAAAAAAAGAAAAAAAAAAAAAACCCCAAGCTCCCTACTTCTCCCAGGCCCTGGTTCTTCACAACACACGGGTGTACTCATCTTTCTCTAGACATCCCACATACCCTCTCTTCCTGGACCTTGCTTCCTTGGCACACGTGACAAGTCCTAATAGCCACTGTATGCCCACATCTGCATGGTCCTGATTTTCTTTTCTTTTTCATTTATTATTATTGTGTGGGGCATGTGTATGCACAGAAGCTGGAGGGTATCTCTGTAAAATTGGTTGTCTTTTTCCATCATTATGTGAATTCTAGGGATCAAACTCGGGTCTCAAGAGATACTACACGCTACTACCCGCTGAGCCACTCTGCCCCCTTTGTGTATGTGGCTGTGTGAATGCAATGCCTATGGAAGCCAGACAGAATAGGGTGTTGGATCCCCCTGGAACTGGAGTTACAGGCAGCTATGAGCTGCCAGATATGGGCCCTCTGGAAGAGAAGCAAGTACTGTTAACTCCAGCCATCTGTCAAGCACCCTGCTTTTCTAGAGGTGCTACAATTAGAACTGTATGGAGCATCCAGATACAGAGGGGACAAAGGCCTGGTCTGCTCTCTGATGGACTCTATATAAGACTTCCTTTTCTTTTGGCAGTTCCAGGGGTCCAACCTGGAGCTTCATGCATGTGAAGGTGCTCTACCACTGAGCCCTGGCCTCAGCTCAATGCCTTATTCTTATATTCATACAACTGTATCTTTTAAAATTCTTGCTTGGTTACTAATAATCACAACTCTTTTTCCTTTAATTAATGAATTTTTTTTTTAGATTTTGTGTTTGAGCATTTTGCATGCATACAGCCCGTGTGCTACATGTGTGCTTGGTGCCCATGGAGTTCAGAAGAGGGTTGGATAGCCTGGAACTGGAGCTATAGATGGTTGTGCGTCACTGTGTGGGTGCTAGGAACCAAAGCCCAGCCTTCTCTAGGGGCAGTCGGTGCTCCTAACTGCCAAGCCACGTCTCCAGCCCCCAACCACAAGACTCTCATGTATATTAATCTCATTCCATTTTTCAGGGCAGCTCTCATGTGTATATTACTGGCTTTATGTTAAGCATCCTTGCCATTAACTGTGGTTGGAATCTTGAGTAGAAGTCAATTTGCTGCTGAGTGGTAGTACCACACACCTTTAATCCCAGCTCTCATAAGGCAGAGGCAGAAGGATCTCTAAGTTCAAAGCCAGCCTAGCCTACAGATCAAATTCCAGGACAGCCAGGGATACAGAGAAACCCTGCCTTGAGGCGGATTAGGGGAGGCAATTTGCCTTTTGGGGAGTTTGTTTACTCAGCTATGAGATGACAGGAAGAAATTAACTGACCAGTCTCTTAAATCTGAATTCTAAATAATCTAATGAAATACGAGTTCATTTGTATATTTATCTTTGTACATTTTTATACTTCAAACAATTCTGATGTATGATTTATTAGGTCATGTATATTTTGCTTTGAAAAAGATGGTCTGTTTAACTGTGTGTTATTCTCTCTCTCTCTCTCTATTAACATACAATCAAAATCACATTTCAGTACAATTAGAATACCACCACATTTCCCCTTTTCTATTTTAATAAAAATAGGGTTTCTCTGTGTAACACCCCTGGCTGGCCTTGAACTCAGAGATACGCCTGCCTCTGCCTCCCGAGTACTGGGATCAAAGGCTGTGCGCCACCACCTGACCTATGTGTTAGTTTTGATGCTGCTTATGGATCCTAGGGCCAGTTGCACAAGTGAGGCAGACACTCTAACCGATGGGGTGCACCCTCTAGTCCTTTCTTATTTCTTGTTTTGAGACCGGGTTTCATTAAGTTGTCTAGGACCTTGAGATCATGCTACAGTACAGAGGCCTTGAATTTGCCATCTTCCTGTGTCAGCCTCCTAAGAACCTGGGATTGCTGTCCAGTGCCACCAGTGGCTTTATTAAGAATATGTCTCAAAAAACCAGTAATAACAAAACAAAAAGCTTATCTAACATAAGGTCATGGGTTGACTATTCAGTATCATAAACAAAAAAATTACATACACAGTTCTACTAATTAATTAATACAGATCTTCCAGCTAGTCATAGAGTCTCGTTATTATTAGAATCAATTTTTTTGCCCGATCTGTTAGGTTTTTGTTTTATGTTTTGTTTTTTTCCTGAAGGCACAACTGGCCTTGAAGTCAGAGCAATATTCTTGCCTCTGCTTCCTGAGAGCTGGGATTTGAGGTGAGCCCCACATCTGGCTACTCACTGTTTAGATCGGCAATGAAATAGTTGCCAGTACTGTATCACAGAAAAGGAACAGGCTTTGGTGACCAATAGCCAACTTCTAAGATCACTGTCCTTATCTCGCTCAGTAGGGTTCAGGTGTGCACTCTGCATAATGGTTCTAAATTCTCCAGAAGCTGAGGGTGAACTGCTTCACAAAAGGTAGTGAGGTGGTGGGTTTGAAGAATACAGGCCCACACTGTGTTACTTTTCTTCTTTGCTCTCTACCAAAAGCATTCTTTCTCTTTGGTGCTAGGGATTGAACATGAAAACCTTGTGTATATTAGGCAAGCACTCAATACTGAGGTACACCTCCCTACCCCTTTCATAATTTGTACTGAATAGACTTGAAAGGACCTGGGAATGTAAGGATTACTCATCTCAGAAAAATGGCAGAATAGGCCAGAAAAGTCAGGTCAGTTTTTATTCCAAACACCTGGTCTCAAGAACTATAAGTTATTAATCCCAGCACTTGGCAGGCAGAGGCAGGTGGAACTCTGTGAGTTCAAACCCATTCTGGTTAAGATAGTGAGTTCTAGGACAGCCAGCCAGAGCTACAAAAAGAAACCCCTGTCTTAAATGAGTAATATAAATGAAAATCAAACTAATGACCATCTCTGCTCCTTAGGAGAGTGCTATGATGTTGAGACAGATGGAACTGCCCCCCCCTCGAAATTGCCTTCTCAGACACAACATCCTTTTTTCTTATCCTTTTTGAAATAGTCTCCCCACTTCTGAGGCTAGCTTTGAACTTGTTACAATTCTCCTGTCTCAGCTTCCCCAGAGCTAGGACTACGGTGTAAGGCTAGAGCTTGCACTGACATTTCCAGTGGCTCAACTTCTGCCATGGGAGCTGCTGTGGGGATTGCTTAGGAAGAAGCCCGGAGTCTGACCTGGACTGTTTGTGGTTCTGCTTCTTCCTAAGCAATTGTTAGAAAGGGTTTCACCATACCCACAAATGCTGCAAACTGGTAGCTACCGCTTCCTGTGCAGACGCAGGGCTTGCAGAGAGCCCCGGCCCAGGAGCAGGTGCTGCTCACAGCACAGCTGGCACTTCTTCCACACAAGGTCCCGCAGTCCTTAGGGAGGCATTTCTCACATGCCTAACACTCATTCCTCCTTAACCCACTTAAATATTTCTAGATGAATGGACACTCAGGATGTTAAAATAGTTCACCCCCTGAAATTCCCTACCCTGTCCTTTTCCTGATTTTGAGACAACTTTTCACGTAGCTGAGGCTGTTAGTGAACTCACTAGGTAACCCAGGATGAGTTATACGATCCTCCTGTGTCTGAATCCCAAGTGCTAGGATTATAGGCAAATGTCATCATGTCCCAGCAATTAGTTTTTAAATGGTATTTTAAAAACTGAACCTCAATGGGGTTAGAGAGACGGCTCAGCAGTTTTAACACCTGCTGCTCTTGCAGAGGACTTAGGTTTAGTTCCTAGCACTGACAAGATGGCTCACAATCACCCATAACTATAGCTCCAGGGAGTCTAGCACCCTCTTCTGCACTCTGTGGATACCAGACACAAACATTGTACTTAGGCACACACAGCACACACATACGCACAACAAAACACTCATATACATAAACTTAAAAAAAAAAAAAAGATTGAGGACGGGAGTGGTGGCGCTCACCTGGAGGCAGAGGCAAGCAGACCTCTGAGTTCCAGGCCAGCGTGGTCTACAAAGCAAGTTCCAGGACAGCCAAAGCTGTTACACAGAGAAACTTTATCTGGGTAGGGGGAATGGGGAGTTGGGAATGGAGCCTGGCATGGTGGTGTACATCTTTAATCCCAGTATTCAGAAGGCAGAGGCAGGTGGATCTTTGTGAGTTCAAGGCCTGCTTGGTCTAAACAACCAGTTCTAGGATAACCTATATAGTGAAACTGTCTCAATAACTATATACTAAAATAAAATAAAATATATATATACACACACACACACACACACACACTAATATATATATATATAGACTAAAATAAAATAGATAGATATAAAATATATAGACATATACTAAAATAAAAAATAAACAACTGAAATTGTCAGGGACAGGAACAACACTGAGAAGACAATCGGTATTTTGGTAACAAATCCACGAATACAAGAAAGGATACACCGAAAGATGGTTCAGTGAGGCTGCATCCTGCTCTGGGCTGAGATAGAAACCCACACAGCTTCAGCACTGGGTGACAGTGCAGAAGTCAAAGCTGGAGCCTGCCTGGGGTGGCTCCATCTGTAGGCCTCACCTTGCAGGAGAAAGTAGTCCGGGGCTGTGCGCTTCAAGGCGGCTTTGGCTTTCTCTCCACTCCAATCCACTTCCAGCGCCTCTTTTACAGGGCAGAAAAGCACTTTCTGTGGGAAAAGGCAGAGTGCTCAGGAACAAGCATACTGGTTTGAATCAGAGCTGAAGCTCTTTTCCAGCTCAGACAAATTTCAATATTCAAAGTTTTATTCTATGAAGCCAGTCCCCACTAAAACTCAGGAAATACTTCCTGCTTACTATAGTGACAGAAGTATGGACATGTGCTCCCTATGCGGGAAGAAGACAAAGCCAATCTCCTAAGACCTTTGGTCTCACTATGTAGCTCAGGCTGAAACTATGTAGACCAGGCTGGCCTCAAACTTGCTGAGATCCTCCTGTTCCAGCCTCCCAAAGAACCAGACACAACCTGGATGAGGTGGTACACAGGACTTAATTCCAGGACCTAGGGGACTGAGGCAGGAGGATGGCAAGTTTGAGGCCAGCCAGCTTGAGCTACTACACAGCAAGACTCAAATCTCAAAAATTAAGGGAAAAAAAAAAAAAAGAGTATTCTTTATAATTATGATCAAGAAAACTAAAATTTAGCCAGGCGGTGGAGGCAATCGCCTTTATTCCCAGCACTCAGGATCTCTTGAGTTCAAGGCCAACCTAGTGTACAAAGTGAGTTTTAGGATAGCCAGGGCTGTTACACAGAGAAGCCCTAACTAGAAAAAACAAGGAAGAGCCTATGTGGGCTAGAGAGAGAGCATAGCGTTAACTGCACACACTGTCCTTGCAGGGGAACTAACTTCAACTCCTAATGCCCATGTCCAGTTCCCGTAGTCCTGTAACCCCATTCCAAGAGATCTGAAGTCTGCCCGGCACCTGCACAGGCATCTAAACACACAAGTAATTAAAAATAAAATAAACTGGATCCCTGCCCCCCACCCCACCTCACCCTGCCCCGAGACAGGGTTTCTCTGTGTAACTCTGGCTGTCCTGGAACTCACTCTGTAGTCCAGGCTGTCTCCAAACTCAGAGATCCACCTGCCTCTGCCTCCCTAGTGCTGAGATTAAAGGCTACTACCACCCAGCTAAAACAGACATTTTTTAAAAACCCAAATATCACTTACTTCTCCCTGAGTAATACAGTCCAAAAGTTAAGCCTTTCCACCCTCACACCAAGACATTTTCTGGGAAAGGAATTTCCAAGCAAGAATGTAGAGATGGCTGTCCTGGGTGAAAGGTCTAAGCAGATATTAAGAAGGCCATCCCCATAGAAATAGTAACAGGACACTGGTTCCATCCAGTGGCTGACACAAGCAAATATTGGAATGTGGGAAGCCCAAGATTGCCTATTAGAAGAGAATTAACACACGGAACAGTAAGAAACTAGAATGAACATTGTGCTGAAAGGTATTGGTATGAACCCATTGGCAATATATAGAGAAATAAATGTAGCTGGTTACTGGTTAGGCATGTTGTAGGCTTGTAATCCCAGCACTTAGAGGCAAGCTGGCTAGATGCACTAGCTGAATTGGTGAGCTCCGGGTTCAAGCACATGAATTGAACACAGCTACAAGACAACCTGATTTTAACCTTAGGTAGCTTCTATGTGCAACTTGTAGCTGCACATATGTATAACTCATATATGAATAAGCATGGATAGTATACATGTGGAGTACCCACTCATCCAGATTTAAAACTGATTAGAAGTTGGTGAGAAATGAGATAGAGTTGGCTCAGCAGCAAAGAGCACTGACTGCTCTTGCATCAGTCTGGGGTTTGATTCTCACCATCCATAGGGCAGTTCACAACTCCAGTCCCAGGGAATCTGATCCCTCTTCTGCCTCCATAAAAACTGCAAGGATGTGGTACACATATATTCATGCAGGCATAACACCCAAACACATATAAAACAAAGGGGAAACATTTTATTTTGGCTTTTCAAGACAGGGTAGCCCTGGCTGTCCTGGAACTCACCGAGGACCAGGATGTCCTGAAATTGGGATATCCCCCTGCCTCTGACTCCCAAGTGTTGGGATTAAAGGCGTTGCCACCACTGTCTGTTGGAAAAAATAAAACAAAAAACCCAAAAAAACAAACAAAAAAACCCCCACCATGGTGGGGCCTATGTATAATCCCAGTACATGGGAGGTAGAAGGCAGAAGAATGCAAACCTCAAGGTCAGCCTGAGCTATATAGTGAGACCCTGTCTGAAAAGAAGAAAGTATTCTAACAAATGACAACTACAAGCCGGACAATTTTCACTCAACAGCATGGCTGAAACAAAGCCCGAGGTTATCTATCAAGTGTTACTGTTACATGCTACTGGCCATGGAATGTAAATTGGTAAAAATATTCAAGAGTAATCAACAGAATATGAGAATGGTTAAGATGCCCTTATCCTAATTTTACCCTACAGAAATTAACACAATTGCCCAAGTAGATTATATACAGTCTCACATACACAAACAGAATGCTCACCACAGCAATTTCTAACAGGAAAAGTTTGCATCCCTGAATGCCACCAACAGTACATAAACAGGAGTGTACTGTTTCACACAACAGAAGCCCTGCAGCGCTGTCCAAGAGGACTTGTTATGATGCGGTAGGTCATGTATGCATGCTGTGCAACTCCCATGCCAGCAGCTACAGGTGCTTATTCAGCACTAAAGGTGTCTGGTTTTATGCTGTATTTAGTATTATATAGCTGTGTGTGCCTAGCAACTACCATAAAGGACAGCAAAGCTCCACAAAGACACACAAACAGATGGCCTCACCAATAATGTCGCTCTTACAAAGCAGGTGACAGCACACATGCAACATGAACTAGTTCGGAAACAGTGAAGAGACGTGGAGAGCACGTCTAGACATGAGAAGAAAAGCATGGGAAGGAGACCAACTGCTGATGGCCGCTACTTACACTGCGAGAAAGGCTCAGCCACACCAGAGCTGTTTGCCACTTTACCTTGGTAGGATAGATGGTGCTAGCTAACAGTTTTAGTTCGCACGCCTTTAATCCCAGCACCCGGGAGGCAGAGCCAGGCGGATCTCTGTGAGTTCGAGGCCAGCCTGGTCTCCAAAGCGAATTCCAGGAAAGGCGCAAAGCTACACAGTGAAACCCTGTCTCGAAAAACCAAAAAAAAAAAAAAAAAAATTTGCTTTCTTCTTTTTTTTAAAGGGTAACTTTAAAAACAAACCATTTACTTATTTACTTCAGATGTATGAATGTTGTGCACCACATGCATGCCTGATGGATCCTCTGGAACTGGGGCCCTCTCTAAGAGCTGCATGTGCTCTGAAACGCTGAGCCATCTCGCCAGCCCAAGTTGAGTTGTTTGTATCTACAAACATACGATTAAACTCAAAGGCAAGTAAGGATGAATGGGAACCTGCCCCCTTCAGGTGACTTTTTAATCCATTCACACTCCCTAGCAGCTCAGAGTCACCTGAATAAAGCCAAGAGTACAGAAAAGGGCGACAGACCAGTATGCTAACACTGAGAATGTGGGTGTCTAATGAAGACAGTGGTTGTTCTATTATGACTGATCATCTGCAAGGATGTGGTGTCTATCTGTACATGAAATAAATACACAGTAACATACATATTTACACATGTATCAGATACAGTGGCAACAGGTACAATGGTGCACCCTATATGCTCAGAATTCTGAAGCAGAAAGGCTGAAAGGACAAGGCCTCTTTGGGCTACAGACTGAGTTCAAATCCAGCTGGGATATCCTTTTTGAATCACTGGGAGAGGGGAAGGAGAGAGAAATGGAGGGGAGGGATCAACAACCAGACAGCCCCACCTTCCATGATTACTATGATGATGAGGGGCTAAGCCTTTCTGTGTTCACTTCATTGGAACTGAGAAATTTTCCCCCACAAGGTAAGACACATGCCCCATCTCAGCTAACTGTCCTCCCTAGAAAATCTGGTACCAGTATCCCACCAAATTCTGCAGATACCAGTGTATTGCATGCCTCTAAACCAGTGCTTCTCAACCTTCTTAATGCTGCCACCCTTTAATATAGTTGTTCATGTTGTGGTGACCCCAACCATAAAACTATTTTCTTTTTTTGGTTTTTCAAGACAAGGTTTCTCTGTGTGGCCTTGGCTGTCCTGGAGGAACTGGCTCTGTAGCCCAGGCTGGCCTTGAACTCAAAGATCCACCTGTCTGTGCCTCCACGTGCTGGGATTAAAGGTTGCACCATGACCACTCAGCCACAAAACTCTTTTCCGTGCTACTTCACTACTGTGATTTGGCCACTGCTATGAATCATAATGTAAATATCTGTGTTTTCTGAGGTCTCAGGAAACCCCTGTGAAAGGGTCATCGATCCTCCACAGGTTGAGAATCTCTGCTCTGAACCAAGAAGATCTCGACACTGGGAGGACCATAACCCTCACTGGCCTGGAGGTTACTGCTTGACAATTCAGTGAGTCACTTCTAAGTGTTTCTGGACAAATTCCTTATCTTCTTTGGAATTCTGTTCTCTGATGAAGTCCAAAAAACTAATGTACTGAACACAGTCCATTCCATAATCTAGGAATGACAAAGATCTCCTTCAGGGTAGTCATTTTCTGCTACAGAAGCGCCACTACACCGAACTCTATTTATAGACTATGACTGTGCGAAGCACTGGCCTAGGACTACGGCAATAAACAAAAACTTCCCTGCCCTTAGGGACTAAAATCTAATTTTTTAAAAGATCATTTATTTGTTCGTTTGTTTATTTACTGTGTGTGCACATGGAAGTCAGAGGTCAATTTGCAGGAGCTGATTTTCTCCTTCTACCGTGTGTGTCCGGAGATCCACCTTTGGTCCCTATACTCACTGCACTGCCGTCTCATCAGCCCAGAGAGCGAAGTCTAAAGGGAGGGTTAGGGCTGGAGCTCAGTGGTAAAGGAACTAACTGTCTACAGCACTTAAGAGGACACGGACATGCACAGACACAGAGTAAACAAATGTATTTTAAAACCAAACTATCAAAAAAGATGCTCCCAAACTCCTGAACGCCAGCTGCCTCCAGTCAGGCCTGCCTTCCCTACTGCCCTATTGATCACAGGCACATGTGTGCTCGAAAGGCCCGAGCTTCCTAGATGTGTGAAAACCACAAGCTATGTTTTTCCTCTTTGTTTTCTCAAGTTTCTAATTTAGGAGCACACCATGTACCTTGAACCCCAAAGTGGTTTTACAACATTTGATTGAACCTAGGACAAGTGGGAGGAGAGAGGGACTCTGATAGACACCTTTCACAGGAAACAGGAAGTAGTTGCTTCCCCCACCCCATCCTGCAATCTCTGGGTAGAGCCCAACTAGTTATTCTGTACAATTTAGGAAACCTTAAAATCTGGGTGGAGGAACTTAACTGGAAAGAACTTCAAAACGCCGGGGCTGCCTGGCCTGGTGGGATTCACCTTTAGGCCCAGCACTCAGAGACAGGCAGGAAGATCTGGGTGAGATGGTCAACATTCTGAGTTCAGGTCAGCCAGGGCTGCACAATGAGAACCTGTCTCAAAAATTTTAAATAAAATAAAATCCCAGGGCCCTCTCTGCCCAAATGGAGAAGCTGTCACTACCAGGTGGCAAAGCCACAGGCCCACACTGCCACGCCCTGGGCTTGCACTGTGTTATTGGTGAGGCACACAAAGACAAGGTCTGGAATCCAGGGGATTGTCAGAAGGAATGTGCTGCATGCCGTGCACCCTCAAGGGCTCAGGACTGGAATCCTAGCTCAACAGTCCCATTGTAACAGCTGACTAACAATGTCAGCTGGGGAATATTTTGATAGCTTCAATTTCTGCCCCTTCTAAGGAAGACACTGCACAAAAGGCAAAGTGCCGGCAGAGCCCTCAGGAATGGCACACCAAGGCTGCCAAGTACTGGCCTGGGCTCCCCACATTCTCCTCATAGTGAGATAAAGTGGCTCCCAAAAGAGGCTTCCATATCCACCCTAGAGGGCACCATCAGAAATGACTCCAGGGAAACTTCCAGCTGTGAATGGCTAACAAAGCAAGGGCTTTTTCCATTTGAATGCAAAAAGCAGACCTCAATCAGAGAAGGCCCTTAAGCCATAAACCCCTTCACACCAGGGCCAAGTGTCACACTTGTAAGAGGGTGTGATTTATAAACTGACAGAGCCGCCCACAAAGCTCCTTTTGTGCCCCTCCATTTGTTAACAATGTCTCTCCCCACCAAACTCAGGCAGCCATGCAGAGAAAGACTGACTGGGCCTCAAAAAGAAAGGACCCCAGGTTTGGCCCAAACTCTAATGTTCACTCTGGGTAATTACAGTCCTGTGAATAGACACTAAAATTAGAGCTTAATAATTCCTCTGCATCAGGCTCACAGATAAAGCTATCCCAACACAAACACAAAAGTAAGGGAAAGAAAATGCACAGCTGTCTTGCCAGAGGCCTTAGTCCCACTTCTGAGGATCCTGAATTCTATGGACCCTCAACCCCCAATGCAACTTTAACTGGACATTCCAACCAGCTGGTTTCCTTTCAACATTTAAATCTACAAGGTAAATATGAGCTTGGTCGCATCATTTCTCAGTTTAACAAAACCAACACCAAGCACTTTACATTGTTTTCTCCAGTACAAGACTCCCTTTTCTAACACCAGCTAGAGACACCATTGCCTTCCTAACTGCTTTCTCCAAAATGAGATTAAACACTGCATCAGATCCAAATACTGCCTAAACCCCAAATGTAAACTTCATTAAAAAGTACACAGTGGCCCCAAGACTCAGCTGTAGAGCTTGCTAACCCAGCATGTGTTAAGGCCCTAGGTTCTATACCCAATCCTGGGAGGGGAGGACAGGGGACATCAACAAGCCACACACACACACAGCACCAGTGATCACTACACACATATCAAAGATCTTTCTGTTTATTTGGGAAAAAAGTAGCATGTAGCCCGGGCTAACATGGAACTGGGGCAAATGGCTTTGAATTTCTAACCCCTGGTCTTTATCTCCCTTTTTTTTTTTTTTGGTTTTTCGAGACAGGGTTTCTCTGTGTAGTTTTGGTACCTGTCCTGGAACTCACTCTGTAGACCAGGCTGGCCTCGAACTCACAGAGATCCGCCTGCCTCTGCCTCCTGAGTGTTGGGATTAAAGGCGTGCAGCGGCGGCGCCACCACCGCCCTGGCTTAGTCTCTATCTTCTGAATGTTGAGATTACAGGCATGAACTGCCATGCTGGGCTCATGTATCACAGGTTTAAACCCAGGTCCCAGCAAGGGCGAGCTCCAGCCCCACTCTTCATCTTTATGAGACAGGATCTATCACTGAACCCAGAACTCACTACACTGACTGGCCAGCAAGCTCCAGGAATCCTCTTGTCTCCAACATCCGGGCACTGGGTTTAATGAGATGCCATGTTCAGCTTCCCCACCCCGACCCTCCCATATCTGGGGACAAACTTGGTCATCATGCTTATATAGGAAACACTATCGACTGAGCACCTCCCCAGGTCACATGGTGGCTCACAATTGTCTGTAATTCCAGTCCAAAAGGGGTCTGACTTCTAGTCTTCTGAGAGTGCTGTCACACATGGCATGCACACACTCACACACTCTCTCACTACTCTCTCTTGCATGCAAGCACGTACACACACATACATACACACACGTACACACACAAGTAGAACACCCATACATATAAAGGCTAAAAAAAAAAAAGACTGAGCAAGACTTCAAACATGAACACCAGGTGTAGGCCAGACACACTAGCGCTCATTATGTACAAATACAGTTACCAGGGAATGAAAAGGGAGGAAAAAAAATTCAAGTTTAAACTGGCTCCTTCCCAGTTAGGACCTGTGCACCAATCTAAAAAAAGAAAATGATTGGGAGGGAGTGGGTGTCAAAGGAGGAAAAACGTAATGACTTCTGCTCCAGACACCAGAGGGCAAAACTGATATCTTCTATGCTAAGTAAGTTACACAAGCTTGCTATGTCTGGCCACCATGGTGCTACACCAGAACAGTACCGGAAGCAATGTGAGTAGGCTGCCAGAAGTGTACGAGATTCCTAACTTTCTTGAAAAATCTCATTTGGAGTATAAACCCATTCTCTTTGGGAGGAGCAGCATTATACCCCATTAGACGGAAGGGCCCAGTCTCGGGCCTCCCCTCAGGGTTTACCTAATTTGCAGTTATGAAGATCCCTCTCCATGCCCCAGGGGTTCTGACCTCAGTTCTTTACCTTTTTGACCATGGTTGTCTCAGATGAATCAAGTTTTGCTCTCTTGGTATCAGGTCCATCTTCTACTCCTTGACCAACTTTGGCAACTTTGGTTTTCTCTCTAGAGTGACAAGGGAAGGAAATCAAGTTTGAACCATAAGTCACATGACTGGAAAATGAATTTTAAAAATGCTATCAGGATTTTTAAATTTTTTTTAAAAAGGATATGTATGTACAAGGGCAAAAAAGCTGAGTTCTAGACCAGCCTGGTCTACAGAGTGAGTTCCAGGACAGCCAGGGCTACACAGAGAAACCCTATCTAGGAAAAAAAAGTGCAAAACAGCTTTGGGGTCTGAGGCATGGATTCAAATCTCACCTCAGCCACTAAAAACTGGTAAGTCAGTTAACCACTCTGGGAATAGCTGTCCCTGCTGTGATTAGGGGAAAAGGAGGGTGTAAGCAAACTCCCTAGCATAAACAAACTCCCATACACCAAAGAGACTGTTTTGCAAACATTCTCGAGGCACCATGACCTAAAGAACCAAACCTGGCCAAGTATGGTGGTGCACACCTTTAACCCCAGCACTTGGAAGGCAGAGGCAGGTGGATCTGTGAGTTCAAGACCAGCCTGGTCTACATGAGTTCCAAGACAGCAGGGCTATCAACCCCCCAAAAACAAACAAACAAAAAACCCACAACAACAAAAACAAACAAACAAACAAACAAACAGAATAAAGAGCCAAACCTAATTCCTCTTTCTGCTATGGGAATCTCATGCTTGAATAATCAAGCCTGCTTTTGTTATAACCGTTCAATGTATAACACTCCTAGAACCAGATCTTTCTAAGGCTTCTGTGTGACTAGGGGAGGAAATGGCGAGAAAATGTTTGACCCTTTAAAATCCCCATCCGTGTCCCCACCACACCCACCGCCGCCTTGAGACTGAGTTTCTCCGTGTAAGTCCTGGAACTCACTCTGTAGACCAGGCTAGCCTTGAACTCAGAGTGATCCACCTGTCTCTTCCTCCCAAGTGCTGGGAATAAAGGCCTGTGCTACTACCATCCAGCTCAAAGTTTCATTTCACAGGCAAGAAACTTGTGGGTCAGAGAAATACCAATGACTTGCTGGAGAGGCTGAACAATGAGAGCACTGCTTAGTAGGAAGCTCTGCCCAATCAGGCCTAGGCCTCTCTGTATCACTCACTGGCAAGGTAGGCTTCAGATGCTCTGTGTGTGTGTGTGTGTGTGTGTGTGTGTGTGTGTGTGAGAGAGAGAGAGAGAGAGAGAGAGAGAGAGAGAGAGAGAATGAGAGAGAGAGAGAGAGAGAGAGAATGAATGAATGAATGAATGAATGAATATGAATATAGTAAATGGTGCCCAAATACTCAGCTTATAGTTTTAT